CTAATTTAGTCAACATGACACCAAGGTCATGCACTGTCTTCATGATGCTGTAATAACCATTCAGATCTGACAGCTTTCCAGAAAGGGAGGGGCTTTGATGCCATGGCGAATTCTGGCGTAACGCCGTAACCTTACAATTCAATTTAATGGTGAGCTCAGAGGGGATGCTGAGTCAGGGTGAGGTGCGGACTAGGAGGCCATTTGCGGTTTCTGGTGTCGGGGTGGTTGACGTTTCTGTTCTGCCAGACGTACCCTGGTGCCCCGGGCTGCCGGCCAGGCCGGAGCGGTGCGGAGCTGCGAGGGCCGAACGACGCTGCTTGCAGCTTTAATTTTAGTTGTTTTCTTTGACTCGCTCATTTACATTTTTCACTAGACAAGCTGTTGTTTTTCTGCAATCTTCCTTATACTTTTGTAACTTAAAACTAAAACCTCCAGGAATGCGTTTAAACCTTGCCTCGTAGAAAATCATTTATTAAGTAAAAATGTAGCAAAATATTTGGATATTTTTTCATAATCAAGAGGTTCTCTGATCCAAAAATACTCATGTTGAAACCTTTATCTTGCCTGACTTAAAGGGGCAACACACAACAGTGAACACAAGTGAAACAATCACAAAACAGTCTAACGTCTCAGTCATGTTGGATGAAAGGTTGCATTGAAATGGATTTCCTTCAGGGTTCAGTTATTCTCCTTTCAGAAAAACAAAAGCGGGACATAGTCACTATTTACAATCTATGAGCCTGCAAGGGTGCAGAGTTTTCGCCGAGGTAACACTTAAGCGCCGGCATTTGTATTTCCACACCGGCAGGCCAAAAGCTCCAGAGTAGAACCGAAGCCAGTAAATAGGAGCGACCTAGAAGTACTTTATTGTACCCCTAAGAAGCCACAAAATCCTTTTGTTTTACTCCAACATAGCCGAAACAGGCTAGAGGCTAACATTGAGCTAACAATGCAAACTGTGAATTAGAAGCAAATAGTCAGCTCTCTATATAGCTACTTCTTCAATCACCAACAACTCAGTATTACAGTGAAATGTGTGTGATGTAAATCATGGGTCAATCGTGTAGTTAAACTTCTTATAATGAGTCGTTCAGAACTGCTACAGCAAGCTAACAGCAACTCCCTCTAATGCCGGGGGCGTACTCCCAAAATAAGTGTATTAAGTGCTCCCTACCATAAAACACCCAACAGTGCTAACACCACATATTGAAATGTACTTATCTATTTATCAACTTATTGTTTATGAGACCTCTTTGCTTTTTATCTAGAATTTACTAGTGCTGATCTAAAACTGGCAACAGCCATAAAACTCACGCTACAGTAGTAAGAAAGTGAGCTTTTGTTTAGAAAAATGGGCAGCAGTACCCAAATTTGTCCACAAAGATGTCATTCTTACTTCATTCTTACATATTGTACCTTTAATTCTATTCATTTTAAAGCAGGGGTGGGGAACCCTGGTCATTCAAGGGCCGCTGTCCAGCATATTTTAGTTTCAACGCTGCATCATCACACCTGATTTCAATCAGCAGGTGATTAACAAGCTTCTGCAGAGCCTGATGAGCTGCAGAACAGGTGAACCAACCACTGAATCAGAAGTGTTGGAGCAAAGACACGCAGGATACCGACCCTCGAGGACCAAGGTTCCCCACTCCTTTTTCAAAGCATAATTTGGTTCATAAACTCTCATAAATAGCAATTTTAACTCAAACCCAAAGTTCACAGCAAGGCTAATAATACATGATACATGGTATTGAAAGGGACATGAAAAACACAAAACACAATGATAAAGCTTGATTCTCCCAAATGGTAAAACATGAATAAAGTAGTGAAAGAAATTCTATTACATTTTGCATCTTTCTTATTTCTGGAATCATGAACAAAAACACCACTTTTGAATTCAGAGAAAACACACAAAAAGCAGGATTTAGCATGACAGGTTTACAGATGAGGACATTGCGGTGGTAATGACGAGAAAGGGTTCGAAACTAGGAGATTAAAAAAACATAATCTGGCTCAGATGCACAAAGAATGTTGAATTTCATTCAATAAAAAATAGCAAAACACATCACTAAATCCACGACTTCAGGTGTTCCAATAGGCATGATGGGCAGTTATGAGGAAGAACTGGCCTGACCTCCACTTTATAGAAAACCTTTGAGATTATTCAGAGCAGAGACCGTGATTCAAGACCAAACTTCTCATAAACACACTCCTAAACCTTGGAAAGTCTTCCCAGAGAGGTTAAAACGGTTATAGCTGCAACTTAAACCCGAGAGATTAAGACTGGGGTGTCATTGAAGTTCATGAGAGCATAAAGGCAGATATCCTAGTACTTTTGAAAAATATTGAAGATCAAGATGAAACATCTCAAAAGTGCTTTGACAAACTAAAACCAAGTGAAGGAAAAATAAATCGTCATGTATTTTCTTCTCAAAGTCTAATTATAATGATTTTTTCTTTAAAATGCACAACTTTTACAATCAATGTTAGCATGCATTATGAAAGACCTATACACAAATAAAATTAACAAAAAAACATAATCACTTGTTGTTTATGTATAAACTTTAATTCTATTTGTTTACACAATCAAAATGAAACTCATTTGACTTCCCGGTGTTATTTCGTCCCTTAGCATTTCCTCCACATGTAATTATTGTTGTTTAGCATCTACTACCAGACTTAGTTTTGTATTTTTAAACCACTTCTCCTGCAGACGTTCTTTCTGTGTGGTTTAATGCAGCCTGAAGTGTTCATTGTTGATCATTTCAAGCAGCTGGACCTCATTTCAGAGCTTTAATGAAGCCGTGTGTCATCCCGGTTCTCGTCTCACTAATAAATATTGTTTAAACTCTGACTTCTAACGACTTACTTCAACTTGAGGACCTTAGTAAAAGTCAGCTGTTTCAATTACACACAGATTTATACTTTTACAGTTTAAATTTGTTTTATTTTTTCTAAATTCCAGCTATTCCCATTCAAGATGTGTTACTCCATATTACTCTTCTTAAATCCATTCCAGATTGTTAGAAGATTAAAATCATTCCCAGAACATCCCATCATGTGTACATATTAGACTAATATCAGTAAATACTCCCATGCTTACTGACTTTAATCTAACATGTACAGGGATGTTCTGGGAATGATTTTAATTATTGTGTTTTCCACATTGAGTCAAGCACCAACCTGTGTTTCAGGGGGGTGGGGAGTCAAGTTTCCAACATTACATTTGTATTTTGTGATTGTTTTTGTTGACATCATTTGGCAGATTTGTAATGGCATCGATATTTGAGTTCTTTAATTTTTTTTCTAAATTAGAACATAATTATTCAAACACTGACTGTGAAAATAGATTAAACCAATTTATGAATGGGATTTCCACATCTTCTCAGAAGCTGGCAAACATTTCCTTCTCCCTTGGCCAAAATGTATAAAGGTACATCTAAAGGTACATTATTTTTGTTTATGGAACAAAAATCATTTATCTGACTGCTGAACGGTTAGACACAACAAGGCAGTAAGGGGAACACAAACAGGGCTTATAAGAAGATGACACTTGCATTGTTTATCCTGTTTAACTCAAAGCTCGGTTCTATTTCCACCTGTACGTCCATTAAAGCGTGCCACACACCCGCCCCTGTCGGCAAGGAAAGAAATCTACACCTCCATGTTGATCCGCTGTGTTTGTCTGTTAATTGCCAATAAACAGAGAAAAAAAGCAGCAAAATAAAATCTATTAGCATGGTGAACACATGTAGAGCAGTAGGCTGCACAAGTAGACAAGAGGACAGAAGTTATTACAGGTTTTCAGCTGATAAAATACACAAAGGCCAATTCTAGTGGATAAACCATCCATGTCATGGCAGTTAAAGAGCAAGTAACGTCTAAATTAACTTTTTTTTGCTGATGAACTGTATAAATGAGTGTCTAATAGTGTTTTAAATGTGTGCATTCTTTATTTTAGCATTTTGGTGCATTTTCTTTAAAAATTAAAAATTCTGTCTAAAAACCACAGTAATGCGCCACCTTCAGCTGAAAACATAGAATTTTAGTCATTTTGAATAATTTTTAGCCAATGGCTAAAGAGTAAAGTACTACGTAAACCAGTAGAGTACTACGTAGCAGCTCCGTGCCAAAGTTATAAAAGCAACGAGCGTCTCGGCCACGCCTTGTGGCGAGTGGGAGTTGGATTTGCAAGCCAGCATAGGAGGTCAGCGGTAGTTCAGCATTAGCATATAGCATTAGCATATCCTAGTCTTTAGCATATCTTTTAGTGTTATAAATACTTATTTAGTGTTAGATTTGGCTGTTGGATATTGTAGTTTAGTTAGTGTTTGGCTGTTAGTGTAATTGGGAAAGTATTTCGGGTTTAGTGTTCCATATCGTCTTAGTATTGGTGAGTAGGTGTAGTGTAGTATGCTTGCGGTGACTCTGTGGGCATTTTACCCGCGATTCTGCACGTCTCCGTTTGAAGAGGGAGGCTGCCCACCGTGGCTCTTCCGCGATTTAGATGCAGCCCACCGACTCTGCTCCCCCACCACGGCGGGCTCCAGTCTGAGGTGAGTCAGCTAAATAAACGTTTTAACATCTTCTAAAGACAATTCCCTACCTAAATGCAAAGTCTGAGAGACGTGGTTCACTTCCTTTAGCTAGTCAGTCGGCAATTCTGCTACAGTGTCTCTAACTAACGCTGCACTAGTTGACAGACATCATTACAGCGTGAAATCCAGCTTGTGAACAGGTTCTGTGAGGAATTCTGTTCAGGAGGTCGCATTTCAGGCTCTCCACATCATATGTGACGGACTTTTACGTTATAACAACGATCACACACTAGGAATGTTATAAAGCGCCTATATAGGAGATTCTTTTGTATATTATCTGACTTTATAAACTCCCAACAACAATGTGCTTCTATTTTTTTTTTTCAGGCTAAATCTACCCAAGACACTGGCTGTCAGACTGATTTAGCTGCATGAATGTACTTTTCCAGGCTGATGTGAAACCTTCCCTGTAGCAAAGGTGAATTATTTTTAATAATCTTCTATGTAAACATTTTATTATCACCTTCTAGTTTTAATTTGTTTTACAGATTATTGTTACACGGGATTTTATGCTCTTTTAAACATTTATAAATGTGCTGCTTCTTTGTTTTTGTACATAGCCAGCCAGAATGGAGTTCACAGCCGCAGTGTGTCTGGTGACCCACAGGGACCATGATGAAAATTCATCTTCCAGAAGGTCCCAGAGCGTCCAGACCCCCTGAAAAGACCAAGATGTGAGGTGTCTGCTGTTGATTCCAGCTTCCACCTCAGTGACAGTGCAAGCTCAGTGAACTGTTCAAGGTTAAAAAAAAATTTAAAAATTTCAGAATTTTTAAGATATTAACAATTAAATAAGTATGTGATTACATCATGACGGAGGCTACTGATTCTGCCCCTGTGACACTTGGTGGTGACGTGTGAGCTGATTCTCCTGGAAAATAACTTTTACATTAAATATTTTGTTTTTGCTATCAAAAGTAAATTAACTAATAACCTGCATTATTGCAAGACACTCAGCAAAATATGGACTCTACACCATGAGGCATGCACACATTAATATTCTATAAGAGCACATAAGGTGAGCAACACCACATATTATACACTGTCCTGAATTTGTTTTCTTTCTGCATCTCATTAGCCTGGCTGATCACCTGATAACCCCTGTCATCTGGTTATGACAGCATGAGGATGTCCTCACACACCTGTAACCTATCAGCTCATCCTGCTGAATAGAGAGAGAAGAGACCACACCACATCTCCTGTTCCTGGAAAGCCTTCAGCCATCCTTCGATGACTGAGAACCTCCATCAGCTCTGTCTCCTGTCTGCCTACAATTATTATAATAAATATTGTGTTTGACAAGTTTTTTGTGCTGCCAAATATCTCATTTAGATTCGTTTTGATATTTTAATGGATATTTATAAATTACATTGAATATCACATTTTTGTTGCATGTTTAACTAGCTATTGTGATTAATTAAACTAGCACCTCACTGTTAAAAGCTCGTTCTAATTTCAAGCATGTTTAAGTATTTATGGACATGAACAAAAACAGGAAATATATAAATTGAGATTTATTTAATTAATATAACAAATAAGGGGGAAAGAGTCATTGAAAGGCACGTTCTTCTGAAAGTTCCTGATCCTGATGACACCAGCAGAGGAGACCAGCTGCAGACACCAGAGGACCTAGAACCAAGAGAGCAGCTGTTATCAGTAAATAAATAAAGAAATCAGGGCAGTTTTAGTGGGCTGAACACATTACAGAATAATTTTCTCATGGGGTATTTTCATAACTTTATATGCAGCAGACTGTAACTTGAGCCCAGAGCTACCGGAGAGCTGCTATCCAGCATGTTTCAGTGGATTTTCCTGCTTTAACAGGTTAGATTAGCTGTTAAGCAGCTCAGCTATTTGTTGCTGATTAAAACCAGGTGTGCTGAAGCAGATAAACCTCTAAAACATGCTGAATACTAGCTTTTTAGGGCCGTGGAGACAAACCCTGCAGCTAATCCAATGCTATGGCTAACGGCTACTTACCTTTCAGAGGTGATTCTGTTGGGTCGGTTCTGGGAGTTTCAGGCAACTCACAAGCTCAAAACAATAAGACTCAGGTCCGCTTGTCTCCTCCAAATAGACTTGGTCCCTTTCTTCTCGAGTGTCTGTGTAAGGAGGGGGAGAAACGTCCTCCACTTCTAATAACTGCTCAGAGTGAAGGGAGCTAGCTTCGTCTAGTTAGCCATCGTCTTCGTCACTGACGCGGCTCCGCCCTCTCGGTCCTCCAGGCGACGCCTACTAATGTTGCATTTTTTAAAATTGATATGTGGGTGGAGAAGGACTCCGAGGCTCAATTGACCCGCTCTTTAAAGTCTCATCGCGGAATAAAAAAGTCAAATATCTGCTTCACATGTCCAGACACGAACAAGGTATAGCCATCTAATGGCTTATGTGATTTGTTCTATCACTATGTGCGACTGCAGGGGTGAAGAGCTGGCCGGGGGAGAGCCGACCACCCGAGCACAGGCAGCAGCAGGATGTGCTGCTAATCAGTCCTGAGAAATAAACGTGTGTGAAAGTGACACTGCCGGTGTGGTGTGTAGTTCTGTGTGTGACCCGCGGTAACGGTGTTGTTACAATAATTACACAAAGTGAGTTGTGTCATTCGTGTTCCTGTTTACGTTGCTCAGAATAAATGGAGCACCCAATAATCTCTGAAGACAAGCGATGATCCTTTAGGATTGACCTGCAAAACGTAGAAGAGATCCGGTTACACCTTCGGTTTAGCTGTAAAGTCCAGAAGGTCGGTTCTGAGAAGGGCTGTCATCCCCACACCTAGCTATTTCAAACGTGGATCTGGAAGCTTTATGCTAAACACTGTTAGCTTTCAGATGTTTGTATTCTTGATCATCAGCACAAAGATGATCTAGGGATGAATATCTAAATCCCTAGGTTTAATTTTGTTGGATTAAAACATGGAGATTCAGCTCTGCATAATGGCCGGAGACGGGCCTTCCAACGTGTGTGGATGTGTGCAATTACCCGGATGAAAACAATAACTTTCAGTGGGTTCTTAGCTGAGGTTCTTTTGCACAGATGTGAACACATCAATCTTTTTGGCAAATTAAAGTAGCTATCCGGAGTTTTCCCCTTTCACGATATGTGTGATTTTTCAGAAATCCATAAAAGTTAAGTCTTATTGTGTGATGTGATAATCTAGGAAATACGCCATCTTTAGTTTTATTTTTATTTTTTGCTATGCTTGCCCCTGTCCCGTAGAGCTCCATGCAATATAAAATGAGCGCCGGTCAGCATTAACCAATAGCAAAAGACTACCGTTTACGTACAGATGTTAATCACAGAGGGTGCTTGAGCGTTTGCGGATGTACCTCAATTACTGCAGAGGTGGCGACCTTTCTCGTGGACAAGTAAGTCTTTAAAATATAAATATATGAAAACGTGAATAAGAAAGCAATGTATTAGTGTGATATGCGTGTCAGCCACTAGATCAGGGGTGTCAAACTCAAACTCACAAGGGGCCGAAATGAAACTCTGGGACGGAGTCGAGGGCCAAACTCAATATTTTTTGAAAAAGTGACGGAAAATTTGCACATTTTCTTTATCAACATATATCCAATTTTGAACCTTTAAATTAGGAAACAAACAAACGTATTTCAGCATTAACACTGAATGTGGAATAACCAAATTACACACGAGCAAGTCAGTTTTAAATAAAAGGCATCAGTGGTATTCATTACTTGTGGTATATTCAGCATTTTTAAAATCTATTCAGGATTTATGTTTTCTTGTTTATTCATTTTTCTTATTTTTTATTCTCCTTTTTTTCTCCTGTAATTCGTGTCATCGCTGCTGTGACATCTAGCTTTCCCCCCTGAGGAACAATAAAGGGATTTTCTATTCTATTCATCTATCTGCAGCCTTTCCACTTCCTGTTTACTGTAGGTTAAATCTTTTCTCACAGGCCAACAACTAATAAAAATGTAATTTTATCTTAAATGAAAATGCAACATCTCACCTGTTAACTTTCATGTTTTGGAGCAGAAAAAGAGCATAAAACCAACATATTTAAAGCTCAGTTTGCTCCACTGGTTTACTGTGATGCTCACCTGTTCCAGCCAGATACCTGCATCATGGGGTTGATCTGAGCTGAGGAGGAGATTCCTGTTGTTTTGTTCATCTTCATCATAATAATGACAACATTAGATGACAACAGGTGCTCACATAGGTTTGTGCTGCTGAACATGTCTGAGCAGCTTGACCACGTTGTTGTGTGTCGGGGAGGAAACACAACGACAGCAACCACAGAGTCATGCTGGTTTGAGCGTGTCGCTGTTCGCTGGAGTTATATCAGCTCTGTCTGGATGTTAGTTGGAAAACTTTCTCTTTCAGTCGTGAACACATTACTGAGCGGCTAGAATCTCCGTTTCTGGGCTTCAAAATCAGAAAATAGCTGAGTGAACTCGGCGCTGAGTGAGAGGAATGTAGTTTGTCCGAGACAGCGGAGCTGCAGACACCGGCAGCAGGCGCTGGAAAAAACACAAAGGAGGGGGCGCGTCGGCTCCGCGCTAACGCCGCAAAGCATCATGGGAGTTGAAGTCTTTGCGGTAAAATCGGCCAGCGGGCCAGTTTTAATATATTTTTGATATTTATCTTGCGGGTCACATAAAAATGCTCCGCGGGCCACATCTGGCCCGCGGGGCCTTGTGTCTGACACATGTGCACTAGATGGTGCCATCAGACAAAATAAATACAGACATCAACTTTAAAGCAAAGCCAAACAACAGGGAAGGCACACAAATGTCAATAGCTACTGAGAAGCTTTTGGCTAGCAGAAAAAAAAACTAAAGGCTCACTCGATTAACTAGATCAATTATCTCACTGATTTTAAGGCAGATGACAAGATTCATCCAGCCTGGCAAGCCTAGTTTGGCCATGACCTATAGACAGAGCTTGGTCGTCGAGCAGAATCCATGGTTGTCTTTTAAACTGTCTCTGCATACAACTGGACAGCACAAGGACCATGAACAATGTGTCATATTTATATGGAAATCAGTCCATCTTACACCACCAAGAAGACGAAGGAAATGCATTATTTTTCCTAATTTCCCATGTGTGAATGTATGTGTATGGGTGAATGAATGATTGTGTTGTTACGTTCCTTAAGGTTTGTAGAATCCTAGAAGGCGCTGTCAAACAAAAGCCATTTCCCATTTACAGGCCAAATAAATGATGTAATTTCCTCTACCTGCTCACGTCTCAAAGAGCAGCCCATATCTAAACAGTCCAAAGTTGACGCCAAAGCAGTTTCAAATGAGCGCCGTTCCTGGGCCGACGCCATCTTTGTGATCTTTATCTGTCACTGCCCCGGCGCCAAGCCCACACATCGTCTCTCTAAAAACACAGAGCGCTGTTATTGGCTAGACAGAAATGTGGTCAGACCAATGGTAGACCTGCTGAGGCTACCATTGAGTGGGCTAAACCAACCTGCTACAGGTGGTCAAGATTTCTAGGCTACGATTTATCAGTTTTGACTCCTGAAAGCATTGAACAGTTCAAATTAGACCGCTCAGGTGTAGAGGGCTAGACAGTGTTTTCAACCAGTTTAGGATTAGAACACAGATATTTTAGTATTAGTTTTTAGTAGCCCCACCCCATAATGATCTGACCATTCAGCACACTAGATGTTCTAACCTGGTTTGTTGTGATGCATTGCAGTTAATTATTTGTTGTTAAAGTGACAGCGTGTATTTTCCTGGCGATAGGGATCAGGAGATACCTGAGGCAAGCAAGCAGTATTTTTGTGTTGGAGTAAGACCTTACCAACGGATGCCCATTAGGGTCAAAAAGCCCTGGGGAGTGCAAACTTTAGCAAAATAACAAGCACATCAGACTCCCTTTCATCACTGGCAACAAGTGAAGAGGTAAATTAGTAAAACAACAACGTTTAAGAATGACGAAAGTTTTGCAACCTCTCGTCACAAATCAGTGAATGCATTTTGTCCTCAAGGGCTCCCGTAGAAGGAAACATGGCATCTAATATGGCGTCGTGCAGAGACTTAGGCTACGTTTACACTGCAGGCCTTGATGCTCAATTCTGATTTTTGAGTAAATCTGATTTTTTTGTGTGGCTGTTCACACTATGACTAAAATGCAACACCAAACTCTCTCCAGTGTGAACGATCCACGGCACCAAAGCGACCCGCATGCGCAGAAGACAAGAAGTCACTCTCAGTGGAGCTGAAACCAGGAGGGGCGGAGCTGTGATGTAATCCTGATCCTGTGGATAAACTATCAGTGAAAACTTTCACACCTGTTAATTCTTCCGTTTTTAAAACTGTAAACTATTTTATT